CCTCTCAGTAAAACGTGCAGTTCAATAAATCATAAATCTTTTCCTCGCGGACTTTTTAAACCCATTCCAAAATAATAAAGAAAAGAAAATGTTTGTGTTTTTAGCTGTATAGCAACATTTCTAAATGCCTTCAAACAAGGCTGATTAATCTCGTTAAGTGAAACTTCGCTATAGAAACTTTGAAACTTTTTGATAGTAGTCTGTTGTAAGTGATAACGTGTGAAATGTGATTCTATTTTAACTAAACCTCTTTTTCTTTCGTTACCGTTAAGTTATCCAGTTGTATTAAGCGACATAGCGCAGTCAAATTAGACATATTACCTTGCAAAAGGCCGAGTAATTCAAATTTCTTTCTTAAATTGTTAGGTATGTATGTAGTGAACATAAAAAAAAAATCAAGTTTCCGCCCTTGAAAGCCTTGTAGGTTCGCTGCAGTGCTCCAAAAACCATTGAAATTTCGAATTTTTTTTTATTTACGCTAAATATTTCGTTTTCAGAAAAAACTTGATAAAAAATCGTTACATTAATATTAAACTAGCTTAAAACTATCTAAGGTTTTTGTATATAGCGTTTTTTGTTTAATCTCAACAGGAAACCAACTATCGAGCTCTTAAAATGTACCCATTTCGATTTCTTCACAATAGTGTTCTTTCAGTTTTTAAGGGATGAAATCTGTAACTCCATTTTGAACCTCGTTCAAATGATTTGAAGGTTTTCCTTGAAGATAATGAGCCATTGACTGGAACGGTGTGTTCTGAAAAGTATGACAAACAGTGGGACAGACCCTCCCAACCGTGCACCTTGCCCCCACATCTCAATAAATTGCATATAGTTGTGTTCCTAGTAACTATTCATATTAAAACAAAAAAAGTGACCTTACTGTCCTAGTGACCTTACCCAAAATGACGTTCAAACGTAGCAGATCGACTTCTTTGACTTGAGTTAGTTGTTGTTCGGTCACTGAGATTCAGAATTTGGCTTAATATCGTCATAATTGGCCTTTTATCTGAATAGTTAGAGAATAATAAAACATGAAATTGGAGAATAATAAAAAAATATTAACAAATAATTGGCCTTGGCAATATAAAAAATCAGTAAAGTCAAGTTTTTTAAGTCGTTTAAACTAAAGTTGAAAATCAAGCGTCTTTTGTAAATAAAGAAACAATAACGAAGAACGCCCAGAAATAAAACATTTGGAGAATACATTTTTTTTTGTGTGTTATACTGATTACTTTTTAAAGTATTTGAAGCAGTTATTTAGAAAACACACTTTATTTACGGAAAAGCGGGAGTCTAGAGTTCTCATAAATGGCACAGTTATAGGGTGTGTGAGTGTATTGAGGAACATATATTAATACAATAATTTAATTGTCAAATTTTTTTTTAAAACTTTACCGCTCGATAGTCGCTTCTTATTGGGGTTAGATAAAATGTTATGTACAAAAACGTTAAATAATTTTAAGCTGTTTAGATTGAGTATGACCATGGTTTAGCTATGTCGCTTTAAAAATGAGATATTTAGCATAAATCAAAACAAGTTCGAAATTTCAATGGTTTTTGGAGCACAGCAGTGAACCAACAATTAGTCATTATAGTCACAGCATCCTTAACCATATAAAAAAGAAATTTGAATTACCCGACGTTTTGCAAGCTGGAGCAAGCCCCTTTGTTGTAGTAACTTGACTAGGCTAACCTGTATCATTTATTTGCTATCTTATCAATAAGATCTTTTTTGGAGTACTTTTTTCTCTGGCTTTCATTGAACGTTAAGGAACCAAAGAGAAAAGTTCATTTTGAAAGGGACAGAATTTTAAATTTCTTGACTGGCTACTTGAATCACTCACTAAGAGATTTTTACCATTTCTTTTTTAATATGCATTGTAAACAAAAATCTAACCTTAGTGGTTATTTGATGTATTTGTGGTAATTGATTTACTAAATAAATCCGAAAGTTGTCTTGAAGATTAAAGCGTGAGTCTTGGCCAAGAATTCCGACGGCAAAGTAGTTTTTTTTTCTTCTCAAAAATAACCCATTTTAAATGTATTTCACCAAAAAAATGATTATCTTATATACTTGTACTTATTTATAACTTTGTTTACCTCATTAGGACGGCATTCTTAGAGGAATGAGTGGAATAAAATTAGGAAAAATCGATTGAAAAAAATTGTTTATTCGATCAGATCAAATTTGACGTTATTCCATGTATTCATCCCTATTGTACAAAATGCGATTTCGATAATTTTCCTTTGAAAATATTTTCCAAAAAAACCCAAGAATGTGGGATGGGATTCCATGACTTTCAGCATTCCACAAAATCACAAAATCTTTTCACTCGAGTCCTTAATCACTCACAACGTAAAAAAAGAGACATTTGAATCAGTAAAAGAGCGCAGCACCCGTTACATACCGGCCATTCCCTTAAGAACTTCCTTCATTTATATTTTCAAATATTTGAAACACAGTTATGATTTTAGAAGCTGTTGGTTGCTCTATTGATATGATGAGAATTGGCTTTAATTATACTTTGTAGGTTTCTGTCACAAACTTATTTCTAGCTAGTGTTGTCCAAAATCGGTCAGAGTCTTTCACTTTGCAAGACCGAGACCAAGACCAAGACTGATAAAATAAAATCGATTTTTCGAATAAAAATTAAGAGAAAATATTTACTAATAATTGAAAATTATTGTATTGTAAATTATTAAAAAGAATTGGTATAACCAATATACTTTTGCCAACCAATTAACTCTTCTAATTTTTCATTTGGGCTTAGTTAGATTTCTCCTTTCTAAAAAATTACTGTAATATCACTATAGTAATAGTTAACTAATAGGTAACTGCAAGACTTGCGAGAATCTTGCGCAAGACCAAGACCAAGATCAAGACTGAGTGCGCAAGTTCAAGACTCGTTCTGGTTTCGCATTTGGGCAACACTAACTAGAACTAATAATACTTCGGCACGTTTACATGGACAGGTAATTTATCATTCATTCAAAATTTGTATTGATTGCTTAGCATGATAGCACATTTACATTGCACGAATACCCCTATAATATTCTGTCACAAATATGAGTTACTTTCTCTAATATTTTTCGATCAATATCTTATCTTATATTTATGAAATCCAAATAAGAATAATTGACAATTTTAGATACTATATGTAAAGAATTGGTGTAACCAATATACTTTTGCCAACCAATTGCCCAATTTTTCATTCGGGCTTAGTTAGGTTTCTCCTATCTAAAAAATTACTATAATATCATTATAGTAATAGGTAACTGCAAGACTTGCGAGACTCTTGCGCAAGACCAAGACCAAGATCAAGACTGAGTGCGCAAGTCCAAGACTCGTTCTGGTTTCGCATTTGGGCATCACTAACTAGAACTAATAATACTTTGGCACGTTTACATGGACAGGTAATTTATCATTCATTCAAAACTTGTATTAACTGCTTAGCATGATAGCACATTATGCATTTACAAGTGCACGAATACACTTTTTATATTCTGTCACAAACTTGAGTTACTTTCTCTAATGTTTTTCGATCAATATCTTATCTTATATTTATGAAATCCAAATGAGAATAATTAACAATTTTAGATACTATATGTAAAGAATTGGTGTAACCAATATACTTTTGCCAACCAATTGCCCAATTTTTCATTCGGGCTTAGTTAGGTTTCTCCTATCTAAAAAATTACTATAATATCATTATACTAATAGGTAACTGCAAGACTTGCGAGACTCTTGCGCAAGACCAAGACCTAGACGATGCTAAGTACTAGTGTTGCGCAAATGCGAGACCGAGACGAGTCTTGGTCTTGCAAACTCAGTCTTGCTCATGGTCTTGGTCTTGCGCAAGAGCCTCGCAATAGTCTTGCAGTGCCTTATTATATTATTACTATAGAGATATTGCTGTAATTTTTTTAGATAGGAGAAACCTAACTAAGCTCGAATGAAAAATAAAGGAGTTAAATCCAAAAGTATATTGGATACACCAATCATTAACATATAGTACCTAAGATTTTTAAGTATTAGTAACTATTTTGCCTTAATTTTTATTAAAAAGATCGATTTTTTTTACCAGTCCTGGTCTTGGTCTTGCAACAGTTAGGTGGACTTGGTATTGGTTTTACAAAGTGCAAGACCAAGACCGATTTTGGGCAACACTACTAAGTACACAAGACCAAGACTCGTCTTGGTCTCGCATTTGGGCAAGACTATTTCTAACAATGGAAAATGAACCATTCTCCAACATATTCATGTAAGAACGTCTCGTCGGTCAAAGTAAATTGCTTTTGGCTACATAAACACGAAATTATAATAAATAAACGTATGTTCTATTTAATAATGTTAAATTCAATATTACAAATTGAGATTTATACAGGTTATTTTGTTGTTCTCATAATTTCCTCATTATTCACCGACACATTGATAATTGTTTTTTCTATTTAAATATTTGTTTGAGAACCTGGTCTAGAAACTAACAAAACTTTGTAAGAAACATTGTTGAATTTATCCACTTTCGCGAATAACCTTCTACTTCATCTATACAAAATATTGCATTATTCGGTTGATATTGTTAAAACATAAATGAACCCTTTTACTTGAACTACGTGATACGAATCTCATCATTTTTTGCTGGATTATAGTAAAAATCAATTATTTTAGGTATCTGCCACACTAACAACTTTTGGGATACAATGCTTGGAAATCAACGTTCATTTGAAAAATCTTCATAATCATTGCATAAACTCAAGAATATGAATGAATACAGTAAAATATGAGTAACTATCTTTTTACTAATGTAATATTTAAAATATTTGTTTTCAGTACACCTGATACAAAGATAAAAAATTAGGTAAGTGCTATTTTTTTCGAATTAACCACTTCATTGATTAGCCTAAACGAGAGCTCGCTAAATATACAACTTAATGCTGAATCTTAACGTCTTAAATAGAGATTTTAATTATTTTAAAAATTAATGAAATAATGTTCATACCTTCCGTTTCCTTGGCAACTTATTTTTTTTTACTGTATGCTTTGCGTTTTCGTTAATCCCTTCGTTTCTAGATTGAAGGCGAAGACTTCGTCTGATTCCCATTTTGGTAGAAGAAATGTTGCTGCTATTTACCTGATATTTTCTTGATTTTTTTTTTAATGTAAATGAAAATGAATTATTATATTGTTACTGAATAACAATGCACAAATATAAGTGATAAAAAAAAATTTATAAATATGTGCTGACAAGAATGAAATCTAGTACAGTGTGGAAACTATTTAAATATTTCATATAATATTTTTACATATTAAATAATAAAAAATGTATACATAAAATGTGATTTTCAGTAGTTTTTTTTTTTAAACAATCAATGCATGATTTATTGTGTATCAAAACTACGTCAGATAAATTTATCACAATAAAAAAAAGCAAATCTCAGTAAAACGTAACAAATTGATTTTATAAAATAAAAACATTCAATTTAACTAAAACTCATCTCTGATAACATAGGGTTGTGAACCTAGAATAATTTTTTTAGAACTTTTTTTCTAATAAAGTGACATTCGTAGCAACTCACTCTAACTTTTATTAATAATGAGATGATTATATGTATATTACTAATTAAGGGATATTTACCTCGATACACGTTATCTATGTATAAAAATATTTTCATCTAAACTACATATACATGTGGGTCAATAACACTTCTCTATCTTATTACCCTCATATATAGTGAAGTTACCACATGTTTAAACTACTGTAAAAGATCATACATTTGTAATGAATTATATGCGGACGATGGGCATCAGTTGCTGCCTCTGGCCATAAGTAATATTTTTTTATATATTTTTTTCAAAAAATTATTATTATTAACAAATATATTGTTAATATTTATCTCATCAGTAATCGTTATAGCTTATATGAATGATCGCCACTCCCCTTCTAACCTAAAATACTCTAGGAATGAACTTCGATGAAAGCATCGATTTTTATTTTTTTAAAAATATATTGAATGTTTTTTTTTGGTTTAAGGACAAACTTAAAAGAACATTCCTAAGTGTTCTCAAGCATTTAACAGGACTCTAGAAAAAGGAAATCAAGATTAGTAACCATGTGAACGGATCACTGACACAGGTACCAACAATTAATAATTTGGTTATTTAAACAGAATTAAAATTCTCGAAATACATTAATAATGCAATGTGATATTATTAAACATGCGTTATGCGAAAATCTGTGGTTTTGAATATCTCTTATACTTATGTAATTATGCTGAAATGGGTGCAACTGTAAAGTTATGTTCGCCGAATATGTATCATTATTTTCATTAAAAATTTGTCATAAACTACGAAATGATGCGTTTCGCATATTCATAGCTAGTGAATTTATTTATTATTCTTCAAAAATTTTCTTATTAAAACTAAGCACTAGAGGAAATTTATCAAGCTATCTGAAGTTTAAATTTATACAATGATGTGTGGAATGGCTATTAATCTGGTGAAATTGCCTGCTTAAATTGAATGGATACTCAGATTTATTAATCTTAATATAAAGATAAAAGATAAAAATGGAATCAATAACACATGTTAATCAAAAACTACTTTTTCACAATTCAGTGTATAACCTATTATCTATGCTATGTAATATCGTTATGAATTAAGAATATCTAAAAAAGGTTGTCTGACATCTCATAATTGTACATTCAGTGGCTTGAAAAAAATTCTAAGTGAACTGATCTAGTAGAATTTTATTTTATTTTTAAACTACTATGGATTTTACAATTGTAACCTCAACAATTATAAAAATTGTTTCATTCGAGATATTTATTTAGTGATTAGCAAAATTCGTTTTTGATATATTTAAAGTAATAAAATTTATTATGTAGTTTTCGATTGGTATTTGTTTTAAATTAAGTAAATTAAAAATGAGTTGGGTTAAGGATATTTTCTATCCTTCTTCCATAAATACAATTTTATGTTCTTTCACTGTTGTGATGCACAGCATGTACTCCAATATGGTTCCAAATTCGTGAAAAGTTTGGAAATTATAAGTTAACCTTACAGTTCTGACGAAAGGTTTTTTTTTTTTTTGGTTCCCGATAAAGTTTCAATGTTCACATTTAAGCATTGGTTTAAAAGTAAACACCATTGTGAATACATTTCTATAAAAAAATACTCATCCTGTCTTCATATTTATCATAACTAACATCTGAGTTTTTCTCTACTAAATTCTAAGTGGATACATTGAATTTGCTGTCATCTAGATAAAATGGTTCATTTCAGTACTGTTTATTCTTAAAAAAAAAAATACTTGGTACAATTAGCATTTTTTTTATGATCTTAAACAGTCATATTATGTTTACTTATTATGAAAATACAATAAGATATGAAAAGTTTGTACAGAAACTACCCACTGATATCACTCTAAAATTGTATTTCTCGAGGATATCTTCTTTTCAGACACCCCGGTGGAATATCAGGAATCGAAGAGGAGACAAGATTAGAGTCCACCCCACCTTATTAGAAACATTTTTGAGCTGTTCTCGCACATTAAATGCTTCTGCTGTAGACCTTCCATTTAAAATAGTGGTAATGCCTGAAGTTTTACGTAATTTTAGTTATTAATATCAAAATATACTGATAAAAAGTATTATTCATTTTCTCTAATACTGTTTTATATAAATACAAAGCTGTACAGTTTCTGCTGTTTTTAGGCTTTTCTGAAGCTTCCTTGAAAATATAATGAATTTTCGTTACAAAATTCCAAATACATTTTCAACTACTCAAGCGGTAGTTTTAAATCATCTTACCATTTATCATTTATCATTAAAAGGATTTATCGCCTACAATGGCAGTTCTATATCAGTTTCAGTAAGACTCTGTTCTCGGGAACGGTAAGCGTGGTGCCAATCTGTTTTCCGAAATTTTAGTTGCAGAATACTCCTCTCATAACAAGTTTTGTCATAGGATTCTAACGTCTACTATAAAAAAAAATTGTGCTAGAGCTAAAAGAACAAAAAAAAAAAAAAAAAAAAAAAATCGATTTATATTATAGTTCCTGACATTTATAGTATTCTGATGATTTTAGAGCTTGTATTGTAATATCTAGCCGCAATACTGTTTGGGAACTGCCATAATTTTCAAAACTCGTTGGATATCGTATTCCATTAGTTTTTATCACTTCCTTCAAAAGAACATTAATTATTGCATTGCAGATGTAATGGGGTACCACGTTTGTGCTAATCTAGCTTTCTGTGTTTATTTCGTGTTTATTATCGTTCAATGTTTTATAGTTAGTCTGTGTTATGTTTTTTTTGTATTTCGTTGTTATGACTTAGTTTATTGTAATGTAAATAATGTAAATATGCATATTAGGGGTGGGACATTTCATTAACTTTTATACAGAATAGATTCTTGTGAACTGTTCTATAGTGAGGACCATGAAAAGCTCAAGTGAATATAGTTTGTTTACTTGCTTGTGTAGGTGCAAATTTAGTAAGTATATGGGCTATTCTCTCATTTTGTTGGCATTTCGGAACTGCAATTCGATTAGAAAAAAGTAATGTAAAAAAAAGTTTTTTTTTCATAAACAACTTAACAATAGTTCACTAATGGCACTAGACAAAAAATCCCTTCATAGAATGTAGTCTATATGCAAATTTAGGATCATGATTGTAATCATGAAAGTGAGGGAAATAGAGAGAGTGTGAGCGAAAAAGAAAACACACAACATTTAATTAATAAAATATTTTTATTATCAAATCAGTAAATTAAAAGATATTATTTAACACTGTATAAACATGTAAACAGAAAACAAGAACAATAATAATAAATAAAATAAACATTTGGAATCGTGAAACATTATATATAAATTTATTTTTCGAATCGAAAAGGAGTGAAATTTAAGTTACCACTGTGATTTTATTTTGAAACTAATTATAGGCTTTTACTAGCATAGCCTATAATTAGTTTCAAAATAAAATCATAGTGGTAATTAAATTTCACTCTTTTTCCACTACTTCCGAGTCAAACGAAAAGACTTGCAGGATTCTCCTGTTTTGAATTTTGACTTTTGGAGCGGTAATTCCATCAAAATATCACTGGTCTAAGACAGAACTGGTCGTTTACGTTTAAAATGAAACCACGTTTTGAATTTTGAAACGAATGTAGGCCAAGAGCAGTTATTTCATTATTGCGCACACTAGTCAAGCTGCAAACGTAACGATACTCCTTTTTACCATCAAATCGTGCAATGATGTAACTCCCCTCCTTTGGTTGACCATAAGGATTAGCACCAGGTGTTTCCTCAGTGATTAATATACCTTGAGGTTGGGTGTCTATAGGAGCTTCAGGTTCACAAATCATAGTCTCAAGAAGCGAGCATGGATGAAGCGCAGATGTTTCTTCAAATGTTTCTTTATCTACTTCCAAGAGTGTTGGATAGAGCAACACCAGAACTTGTTTCGTGAAATCCGATGGAAATATTGTTGCATAGACCTGCATAGTGCCTTTGAACGGCGAAAGTAGCTTTAACGATTTTAGGATCAATTACGATATTTCAGAAATGTCTTCTGGAGCCATCACATACAGTATGACTTTCCGTTTTTTTTTTTCGGAGTACTTCTATGAAAGTTTCGAAGCTACTAATATCATGCCCACATGCGACTGCTGTGTCCGCCGTTCGCTTCAAACAACTTCCGATTCCATCCACTGCACCCTTGCCGTGACCAGGACCAGAATAGTTCCACGTGGCACATTACAGTTTTTTGAAATAAACTTTGAGGGCATTGGCTAGAAGATAAAAAAATGTCCGTTTTCTATACTGAGTGTCCGGTGAGTAAAACTCTTAGGAGATGAACAAGAGGTAGAAGCAGCTTACTTTGCCCTGTTCTCCCTTTTCATCAATCTCTCAATAATTCTTTGTTACTTTTTGTAATGATCTTCCAATTTTTTTATTTTCACCTGCAATTTACTCCGATTATGTCTCTTTTGTTTTCTAGCAGATTTGAGAACGCTGTATTCTGTCGGTGGATTGGTGTGGTGGTATAGCAACTGCGCTTGATGGTTCCGGTAGGTGGTGAGTTTTCTTTGCATCGCCTTTGGCTTTTTTGTTCTAGTACCACTTTTTATTCGTAGCCCTCCAAATTTTTCTATATTCCTTTAAGACTTAAGACTTTTCAAAGATGGAAGTTAAAGATGTGCCTCAAAGCTGGACATCTATGCAGCTGTTGCAATTTCTGGGGAGAAGAATACCTGAAAAATCGGACCCCACACCATTCTTTCCTGATGACACTCTCTTTTCTTTTCTATTGCAAGGAACGGTTTTACTCTCTCAGATCTCAGACTCAATTACAAGCGAGGTGACAAGGATAAACAAATAGTCTTATAGGCCTATCTGTCTCCTTCCTGTTATGAGTAAGGTATTGGAGAACCTGATGGTCACGAGCCTACAGCCTGTTTTTTTAAGATCTTCCCATCCACAGCAGAATGGATGTACCAAAGGTAGGGGAACTGCAGATGCTCTGCTGAGAGTTCGCCATGACGTTGAAGAGAAGGCGGACCTCTTGCTTGACATCACCCCCGCCTTCGATAGCGTATGGTGGCCAAGCGTACTCCATCAGCTGCAGAAATACGAGTCTCCTAGCAACTCATTGATGAAAAATTATCTTCAGGATAAACCGCTCCGAATAAGAGGTAACAAAGTAGAAGATATCATGGAGAGAGGTTGTCAACAGGGCTCTGTCCTTACCCCCGCTCTCTGGAAACTAGTCTTCGACGAGTTGCTGG